TGAGACCACAAGCGGTGTATCTACTACAGATATGGCAGAAATGTTGCGCCGGGTCAACTTATTTCGTGCTCAGAATGGTCTTGCTGCAGTGACTATCGACTATCGTCTAGGCAAAGCTGCATTGCTTCACTCGCAGGATCAAGCGAGTCACTGCAATATGACGCACACAGGCACAGCGATCGCAAGACTGGGAGATCGGGTTAGAGCAGAAGGATACAGATACTCCACTGCCGCAGAGAATGTGGCTGCTGGTCAAGCTTCTGTGGAAGACGTCATGACTTCGTGGTGGAACTCGCCTGGTCACCGCGCCAACATTCTCAATGAAGATGTTGACAATGTCGGATTTGCCCTGGCCACGAACGAAGCTTGCGGAAGCTATAAGACCTACTGGACGCAGGACTTCGGACGATTGGCGGAGTAACCAGGACCTCGATGCCAGGCAAGGGGGAAAAATGAATTGGTTTATCCGCCGGATATGTATTGCAATCAAAAGGAGCAATTGCATGAAAGCTAGATATTGCAATACCCAATTGGAGTGGAATCTGCAATATTCAACTGCAGCACTGATCTGTAGAAGTCGTTGCTATCCTCATTCATCTGCGTGTGCCTACCAATCCATCAGCTAACGGTGGGACTGGGCCGTGTAGGACTACTCTTCCAGAGGAAGAGAAAAACCTAGTAGAATGTCGATGCATTTGCTGTCCATGCACACTGCAAAATACTGCAACGTAGTGCGTAATGAAGTAATGCGTGGGCCGGAGTAAATGCCGCGAGATGCTATGCCGCAGTACTCTACTAACGCTACAGTTGCTGCATTTACTCATGCTAAAGAAATGATGATACCTTGAAGAAATATCTACAAGTAGAGCGAGGTGAGCTTGCCATGTGAAGTGACGTTGAAGTGAAGTATTGGCAATTTTAAATTCCAACGTCCAATTGCATGAGCCCACGGACTGCAATACTCAATTACACTCGAAAAGCTAACTGCAGTGTAAACTGCAATAGAGCGCAACCCAAGAAATCGATGCAAATTGACTTTTTCCTTGCCTGAGCTAAATCATGCCAAGATTTTGAATTTCTCGACCGTTCTTACCGTTTTTGTTTGATTACATAGTTTCCATGTTGTCGGGTATGAACTACGAAGCTGACGGCTTTCGCAAGATCGCAACAATGGACAAGTTGGCAACGAGTGCAAAGGAAGTCGGTTGCACCTTTGACTTCTTGTGTTTTCAACGAGCACGTCTCAACTATTATCGTTGGTACATTTAGTTCGAAGAAAACTTTCGACTCCTTCATCCTCGTGGGCCAACTAATATTCGAGCCAAAAATTGGCGAGATCGCCGATGTGCGTCTGTCGATTCCTGCGTTGGAGGCAAGATTGGCTACAATGCGATTGCAGCTTTAGCGCAACAATTGCTCAAGATCAGTAGTTGCCTGCTAAGTCACTTGCAACCAAGCCACGCTTCATATTCGGGATCACATGGATCGCCCACGCCTTGGGCAATCTGACGCCGACGCATTTCAATTGGGTATACGCTAGTCGTGCAAGCGATTCCCATGAATCGTGCATTGTAGCAAATTGCTGCTGGACTGCCTGGGAGCTCACATTGACGATACAATATCCCGCCACACGATGCCATAGTTTCCTCAGTTGGAGGAGATTGAACGTCAGTAGGGCGGAGCAATCCACCACAAACACTTTTGGAAAACTTTGCAATCGCATCAAGCGTGGCACGTGACGCTGTTCTGTTCGCTGGTAAGCAAGTAGCTGCTGGAGATCCCCAGACTGGATGAACGCCACACAACGGATTTTGGAGGTCACATTCACCAAGGAAACCATTGCAACACCACATCCCTCGGTCAATAGTGACAAAAGACTTTAAATCGTGAATTGGTAAGAAGTCCGGTAGGCTGTCAAGCTGGGGCGCGATGGCAATGACTAACCGTTCCAACTTGTGAAGACTATCAAACGCAGGCAGTTCCAGTAGCGACAAAGAAACCGCTACAGCAAGCATCTTGAGACTCGTGAGTCCGTGAAATGATGGTAGTTGCGTGAGTGCCACATTTGAACCAAGATGTAGAGTTGTAAGCGACGACATTTCGTCAAACATGTCAGCAGGGAGGCTAACTAGACCAACTGTTGGTTTCCCTTCCACACGTCTGTAAAGCTCAGTAAAACGATCAGTGCATGTAGCCGATATCCGATAATTGCTACTTACAGATATTCGAGCTGTGTTAGCTCGTGAATCCATACTGGAAACGTTTGCGTGTGTGTGTACACTAGTGATCTGAGCACAAAATGCGGTCAATGAAGGACCAGCTTAGTCTAAACAGACTAACAACATCTTACATGTATCTCATATCAGTGCAACCTCGCAATTCTTCTGGTATCACCTCAAGCTTGCGATTAGTGAGCTGAACGATCTGGAGAAAGCCCGTAGTGGCCAACTGTGCGACTTTGGTCGTCACGTTTTTTGGATTCATCCACTCAGCATACGTTTTTGGTGCTATATCATTGTCAATGAGTGCTAAGCACGGACATTGCGTAAGTGAATCCTTTTCCAGCATAATCCAGCGTCGAGCATTCATGACGCACTCGGGATGCGGATAACAAGCTCTAGCTGATGTTCTTGTGCTCTCTTCTACGTAAACGATCACGAGCAATGTGAAGACCACAAGAGAAGACGCTGCCACTCGATTTCGCTTCGGGTATATACTACTGGTTTGGCTTCGTGGATTATTCATAAAATTTGTGATGCGGTGAAGTTTGAACCACAGTGTGACGTTGATACCCATTCGTGTGAAGAAGTTGAATACGGAGGAGATACGTAGCGACTTCAAGGTCTTGTAAATCACAACAGTTTGTACAGGATCGGCGATGGTACTAGCAGACTGCTCCATCCAACCTTGCGGGAAAGCCGCTAGATTGATCGTCAATTTCGCACGATCGAATTTGAACGCCGAGAGGCAGTAGCATACTAGGATCATGGGATATCCGACTGCAATCAATAAGTCGAATCTACATGTAGAGAGCAGCTCACGACGTTAGAAGATAGGCTACTAGTACAAGTTTTTTTTTT